ATACAATGCATTGCATATTTAATCCATGCTATGCCTCAACATTTTAGTATTCCTTGATATTTTAGTTTTAATTTTATTGCAAAGTGAAATCTTCAAGATGGACTTTAACAGAATGTTTCGGAATTCTGATATTCAGATGCAGCAAGTTTTTAAAAAAAATGCAGAGCACTATATGAAAAAAATCTGGCTTCATAAGACATTCATTTCAACTAAGCTGTGAAATGATCCATGAAAGCAAGCAAACAAAGGGAGAAAGGAAGGAGGAAACAAAGACAGATAGAAAAACTAAGATGAATCCTGCCCATAATTGCTTTATAGATCATAACCAGGATACTGTAATGGAAACCAGCATAGAGATGCCAAAGCAGGGAGCATGTCTGAAATACTGTTCCATTCTCAGTGCTAGCACTTTTTTTTTTTTAACCTAACACACCAAAAGAAAACCCACTTGAACTTTTGCTACCCCCACATTTTCAATCAATATTCTTGATTCTTCAGTTACAAAATAGATCTGTGTTTCAATCCAGCACTATAACCAACAAAACAAAAGAGAGTATTTCTTAGTCTCCCTTGTATCCCCTAGGCATTCACCTCTGCTCATTTCCTTCACTCCTCTACCTCTCATCTCCAAAAACGTGGATAGCCAAATCTAAAGGTAAGAAAACTTTCAGCTAAATAAGCATGAAAAATTTACATACATCCAATTTAATTTTAAATTTCTTTCTTGGCTGCTGTTGGTTACAGATGTTTGCAAAATGTGAGATATGTCTCATTTACAAATCCTGTTGAAGCTTAAAAGTCAGTAATTCCAAACTATCCTGAACTTGGTCAGAAGTCTGGATGGCTCATTCAGAATGAACTGGATACTGTCCAATAACTTTGTGGCTAAACCACCAAATAATGAATTATAATAAGCCTCACTATTAAAAAATACATGAATCAGAGTTTCTAGGTCAGATCCAAAACAGTCCCTACACCTTACAATTTTGCACACACAAAAAACAAAACAAAAACAAAAAACAAAAACAAACACCACACTTGTAACCAACTGTGGTAATTTTATCTTGATTACAAAGTAAATCCCATTGAGGTACAGTTGAAGTTTTGTGGATGCTTTAAATTCCATCAGTATAACTAGCAGAACCTGTACCACAACATTAATGAATGCAAGACAAGACAGACAGGAATCACTGAAATTACAAACAAAATCTATTCAGCTGTTTGAGGTCAATGATTTTATTTAAATCAGATTTTTTGATAAAATGATTTTTGAGGAAAAACCTATCTAAAAATAGTTTTAATTAAGATACATTATAGTTCAAAGCTATCTCATCATGGAATAGGGATTATAAATTTTAATTCTACAGAATGAGACAATATACACCTCTACCTCAATATAACGCAACCCGATATAACACTAATTCGGATATAACGCAGTAAAGCAGTGCTCCCGGGGGCGGGGCTGCGCACTCCGGTGGATCAAAGCAAGTTCAATATAACATGGTTTCACCTATAATGCGGTAAGATTTTTTGGCTCCCGAGGACAGCATTATTTCAAGGTAGAGGTGTATTCATGTAATGTTTAAGAAAAGTTTTGTAAATGAGTTCCAATAGTTCATTGATTAAGGACCCAATCTTATGGGGTTCCACTGGCTTCTGTGCCAATTATTTAGGTTAATCTTTCTATCTATCCAATGGGACTCAGTGCTCAGTCCAGAAGATACCATCAGAGATGTTTAGTTTTGCAGTTCTCAAACTGTGAATGTGTGTCTCCAGAGGTAACATGCTGGTTAACAGCAAAAATGTTTTAAAATAAATAAATACCGTATTTTCCGGCGTATAAGACGACTGGGCGTATAAGACGACCCCCAACTTTTCCAGTTAAAATATAGAGTTTGGGATATACTCGCCGTATAAGACTACCTCTCTTCCAACGCACACCAAAAAAAAAATTAAAAAAATACAGATTTGATTTCAATATGGTAATTTTAATTCAAATGCTTATGACATGCAGGTACTTAGCAGGAAAACTAGTCACTTATAAACATAAGGCTGTTTGTCAT